TTATTACTGTTTGATTTATTTGATGGGCCAATAGCTTCAGTTGATAGGTTCTATCCCAAAAATGGCTGCGTTTCATTAATGAAACAATCCTCTAGTCTTTACTTAATTCACCAGGGGAGTGAGAGGCTGAATTAGTTTTGATTTGAATATTTATAAAAGACCCTGAAATCCTTGGACACAGTATTTTTGCTGGCAAAAATAATGATATGAATAATTAAATATTACTCCAGGTAGTAAATTGCTTTTTCTCTTTCCATGGATGAAAGTTTCGATTGTGTTCTGTAAATCTGCTGTACTCTGTGAAAGCTTTAATAGCATTGCTGCTTGTGCATTAATATGATCAGGAACTCTATGCTATCATTACTTGTTTATATCAATTTCAAAGAAGAAAATAAAGAACTTAAATTTTCCAATAACTTGAATATATCAGCACATGTCCAAATTACTAGCCTGTGCAAAGTGGCTAGTATTCACTTAGGATTCGGATTCGGTCGATTCAAAAGAGAGTGATTCGATTCCGTGATTTGAATCACTGTCCTGAATCAATTCAGCCAAATCACCCAGGCCAGGCCCATCCCCGCCCAGTCTCCTAGCCCTGGCAATGGCTGCCCCTCCTGCCCCAGCTCCTGGCACTTGGGAAAAAAAGCCCCGATTCACCGGGTGCTGTGGGAGTGGGTGGGACTCAGGGAGGAGGGCTGGGGGAGCAGGCAGGGGATGGGGCCTGGCAGGGTCCCCCCATAGTCCTCTCCCCCCTCCTCCAGCCCCCGCTGTCTGCCCCCCACTTAGCAGCTCCAAGTCTGGCTTCAGCTCCCTGCCCGAATCATTGAAGCTCTCCGAATCTTTTCTGAAGATTTGGAGAGCTTTGAACTGATTCGGACCTTTTTATTGGTCCCCTGATTCAATTCAGATTTGCAGATTCAGCCACCAAATCAAGCAAACAGCTTGAACCAAAGCATCCTGGGATGCCGTGGGACTGAGTTAACTTGAATCTGGAAAGGATCTGAGACAGAAGTTCAATAAACCATTTAACCTAAATCAGTTAAGTCTGATACTACATCCATCCAGGTTTATCTTAAACTGGTTTTGGCCATTTTGAAAGCAGTTTATGTGCACTGGACTTCTGTTGTGTTACAGATTTGAACCAGTTTCTGATCACATATACTGGTTTATGTGTAATTTCTGTCCCTAGCCCTAGTGGCGCACCTACAAACTTTATCGTCACCAACAACATGGATGAATTTTTCTGGAATGGCCCATTCAGCAGCCAAGTCTTAGCTTCTGCTTGAAGACTTAGTATATGCTGAAAGAACTGAAAATTAGATGAGAAACTGATTTAAAAGTGCAATGTACTCCCAAACAGTGGGAAAAGGACTCTGGATTGTGAATATAAAATTAGTAGGAAGGCAGCAAAATCATAGCTTATACACGATAAGATATCGCATGGAATTTAAAGGACTCTGAAGAGCCTGGAAAGATGTAGCTTTTAAGTGTAGAAAGAATTTGGCCCATATGGCATATTATAATCATGGTATAAAATTTGTAGTCATGATTGCAAAGTGTTAGACACTGTAAATTTGAACTTTAATTTTTATTTCCTTTGTAGAGCCCAGTTAAGTCTCCTACTACTGTAAAATTTGAAAATGACTGTCCATAGCTTTCTGACAGGAAGAAAAAATTTCAGTCCCACCCCATCACTCCGAATTGTGCCACTAATTTATACAAAGATGGATATTCTGAAATTAATTCATGAAGTACAAAAGGAGAGAGATACATTTCTTATATCAGCTTCAAAGTGGCATGAATACTTACAGGCACACTGATATCATCCCAATATCCTCTTGAGATGTTGAGACCCCAGGGTCCTAACTGTACAGTATGCATTGCTCTGTGAAAAGATGCATTAGACTCTTGACATTCAGACTTAGTTTATAATACTTTAGAATTAGCATGTGTGACTTTTGCATATCAGCTCTGATCACTGTGAGCTGGTCTACTTTCATACAGGTTAGAATCTGTATCTATAAATCCACTCTTTTTATTAAAGTCTTGCTATGCTGTGACTCCATTACAGTGCTGCTTGCGTATTTCTTACATGCATCAAAATTAATAAGAAAATCTGCACCGTCTATGCAGAGGAACAGGAAGCTCTAGTGTCTGGACTACACCCCCTATTGTATCAAATTCCAAGTGGCCAGTGCATATATTTCCACTTCATCCTCTGAGGACTAAATAGCTGAGTATGGGATGAAATCAAAGCTACTTTCCTTAGAATTTCAGGATTTCCAGAGAACTGCAATTTGACCTTGGCAAATCCATTCAACATGCGTCACATTTTCCCCATCAATGAAACAGGAGTAACAGTCTAGATCAGTGGTTCTCAACCTTTTTAGACTCAAGGAATCCCTCCTTAGACTCGAGGCACCCCTCAGAAAATGTCAGCTCTTCGTTTTCACATTTTTTTTGGCAATAGAGCAGTTTTTCTGTTGCAAAGGATTCCGAAAGACCACAAAAGTTTAGAACATATATAACACTATGCAACCCTATTTGAAATCTCTGGCCACGTCCCCACATGCAGGCATGTGCAGTTTGTAGAGGATTTTTTGGTAGGAAGAAAAAAAAAAACGAAGAAAAAAACTGCACAGGACATGCCACAATAGCGTGCACCAAACAAACAGAGGCTTGGTCTTCCAGGGAGACATTCTGGCTGCTGGCCAGTGTCTCTACTCTTCCATTTGTGCCCTGGCTGCTCCAGCGTGCTGGGAGCCAGGAGGAGCCGGGCAAGGGCAGTCTGCCCAAAAACAGGACACAGTGGGCACGTCTACACGCGACACTACAGCACAGTCATTACTGTGCATTTATTTAGTGCTTGTATTATCAAGTACTAAATAAACGTGCAGTAACTGCAGTTACTGTGCAGTGGTGCCAATGAGCATCTTTTAGGTGACGTTACTGCTCAGTGGCCTAATAATACCGCACAGTAGCGTATTAGCACTGTCCATGCTGTGACGTGTTATTGCACAGTATTTTTCAGCTACTGTGCAATCAGCGTCTCATGTAGACGTGCTCAGTGTTCCACAAGAAAGTGCACGTGCAGGGGCATGCGCTGCAGCACAGAGTAGCAGCACAAATTTGTGCCCCTATTATTTGTGCTGCTGCAGGAGCACCCCCCTGCACATCTGGACCAGGCCTCTGGGTTTATCTTGTGAATCATATTCACATACCTAGCATGGAAACCTGGAGCACCCTTGAAAGAATCACAAGGCACCCCGAGGGTACCAGAGCACCCTAGTTGAGAATCATTGGTCTAGCCTAACCACCTATGGTCTCCCTCAGCATAGTATCTGGACCTCTATGTACTTACTTGACTGAGAGAGAAGTTGTAGAGTTTAACAAGCTCAGGATTCTGAAATGCTTTATAAATATAACTGATCTGTAACTTACTGGTATTGAGTAATGCCAAACAATTCTTTCCTGTACTCTCAGAGATGGGTACATGGCCATGCTGGGTGAGTGATTCTGCCATATAAAGAGTATAAAATCCTTTTAGGATGCAAGGCGCTAGGTACATGTCAGCTTTGTTACTATTGGCAGCTGGGCAGACCACAGGCACCTACATTCACTCTTTTGAGGTACCTGGATCTAGGGGGAACTGACAGCTTCCTTTTCCCTGGGAAATCAGCAGCATCTTGGAGAGGCTGTGTTTGTTCAGGGCAGGGTGGGAAGGAACTCAATCTGTATCCATTTTATAGAATCCGCACTACTTTGGCATCCATTGAGAACTACTCTGTGCCCGCTGCTTTCCTACACTGGTGGAGTAATGGCAAAGGCACGCAGACAGGTTGACAGAATCAAAAGCATGGGTGGCACCATCTACACCCAAATGAATACATTCGCTCTAAATATTTCCTTTCCAATGAGGCCATTGACCTCCTTACATGCAGAAAGAAGGGCTATCTGCATGGATTGAAGCAGCAAAGGAAGGGCCAAGCTAGGAAAAATGTTATCCCTGAAGGCATTTCAGTGTCTCCTGATTGTATGCAGACGGCCCCAGTGAAATTCAACCCTAAGCTAAAGCAAAACTGGGTTTTTCTGTGATGCTCCATTTGCATCAGCTGCTCCTTCAGGCCACTCTCAGACCCAGCCAACCCACAAGCTTTTATTTTTAATATATGTTTTCATTCATCGGCAAACAACTGTATCCCTCAAGATCAAAACTAGGAGTTTAAGAGTGGTTTTAAAATTGCACTCCGCTAAAACACCAATTAGATTCCAAAAGGACATGATCAAACTGACATCAGGAAACCAACATGCCCGCTTTGTTAAATACATATATTCCGCTCGCATAACTTTGGTTGGCAGGGGTGGGGAAGAAGCAAAACGACAGATTCAAATGCCTCTAAGTAGCTCACCCCAGGAGCTGGAGAGTCCCAGTCCTTCACAGCAAGCACAGTCCCCACAGAGGGGGCTGGGAGCAGGGTCCCTCTCCTCTCCTCTCCCTGGGATATTTCAGGGGCTTGTCAGTATCTGGGCGCACAGGGGGGTGGCACTGAGCGCAAGGGCACAGCTAGGCGCCAGGTACCCCAAACTAATGATCTTCACTCTCCTTGAAGGGATCCGTGGAAATGGATCAGAGAGCACGTTATTACCTTGACGACTGACCTCGAGGGTTTTACTTCGGGGCTCCCATTCCCCACTTTCCACTAAAGCCTGATCCTGCTTTCACCTGGCTGCCCTGATCAGCTCTGCCCTTCCTGGGACAGGCAAATACCAATGCAAGGGCTTGGCGAGTTGGAAAGCCCTGCAGTTTTGCCTCATCTCAGCAGCAGCAACAAAAAAAAAAACTCAAGAAGCTTCGCCTGGAAAAGTGACCGGGGGAAAGGGGGGGAGAATGAGAGAGAGAGAGAGAGAGAGAGAGAGAGAGAGGAAGAGTCCCCCTGGCTCTGCTGCTGACGTCTCTCCTTCCTCTTTTTCTTTCTCTATAAAGAATCCCAGGCTCGCATCAAACTTCCCAGCAAAAGCAAATCAAACTGGGAGGGGTGGGGGGAAGGAAGAGAGAGAGAAATACCTAAACTCTGATCAGTCCCTGCAGGAAGCAGAGCTGCTCGCCTTCTCCTGGACTGAGACCTCCAGAGCAGCATGTAGCAGGGATCCCGTGGGCTGGTGGGAGCTGCTGCAACAGCTACCGAGAAGCGAAGTTTCTCTTTCTCTCTCTTACTTTTTTTTTTTTCCCCCTTCCCGTCTTGCAAAACCCGAGAAAGTTTAGCCTCCTTCCTCAGATCCCTGCAGCACCTGCGCCTCCCTGGAGAAATACATCTCACAGGAGGCTTTTCAGGTGCAGACACCTGAAACAAAACCCCAGCCCAGGGCAAGCCGCTGAGAGGCAGCAACTCAGTGACTTGGGGAGACTTGGTGCAACCCCCCACAACTGCTGCTCTTGGGGCTTTGCTGCCTTTTAACCCCTTGGGTTGGTGGTGGAGCTACTGCCTTGCACAGGGGTCTTTCTACTTACTTGTTAGCAAGTAGGGGGGGGGACCCACCTTCAGTTCAGCCTCTGAAGTAAAAAGGCTGGGGGGAAGAAGGAATACACTGACCCTGGAGAACACACCTCCCTTGCACCTCGAGAAGGAGGAGAGGAAAACAAGCTCTGTAGCACAGGCTGGAGCAGTGGCCGCGGGACGAGCAGTTGCGCTGGGATCAACAAGTGCGACCTCCTGGACGTCCCGCTCTGCGCCTCCCGCCCCCCTTCAGCCAGGCTTCAGGCTTTGAAACTTGCTGCTGGAAAGACATTGCCCCTATTTAGAGACCTCCCTTCTTGCCCGTTTATAAAGGATATAATCATAGTTCACATCTGCAGGAGAAATGATTCCCAAGCCTCGCACCGCCCTGGCTGTTTGTGTCCTACATGGATTGCTTTGGCTACAAGGTAAGAGCAGTTTACACGTGGTTTTCTCTCTGCTGGGTTATTTTCTTTTTCTTTTTTTTTCCCTTCCTTTTCTGCAGACAACTTTCTGCTCTGTGCTTGCTCCCCAGGAGCCGGCTCGGGACTGCTTCTCCCCCCTCGTCTCCCCCCTTCTCCGCCTGATTGGCTTGGGGCCACTTCTCATCCTCCGACACGAGCACGCCGCTCCCAGGCGGTCGCGGAGGGTTTACCGGCACAGGCAGAGAGGCAGTACCTCTGGGGGGAGGCAACCCCGACTGCAGCAGTGAGTGCTGATCTTGGTGGGTGCCCCCTGTGTCAGATACTAGCTCCTGGGTTTCTTGCCTGGCTTCCCCACAAGGTCCACAATCAACACTTTAGGGGTATTGCGTGGCTGCACCTTCCGTTTACTCTAAGCCAGAGGCATGTGGGTTTTTCCCCTCTGCTGAATGCAAGTCCTTACTTGACTGCGACAACAACAGCCAGGCTTTAGGGCTAATCCTGGAGCTCTTGGGGAGTGATCCAGCTAGCCTGAGATGTGACATCCACCCCCAGCCAAGTAGGGGACCTGCTCAATGGGAAGGCACTTGCTGGAGGGCAACATTTGCAGCCCTGCTCTGACCTTCGCAGCAAGAGCCCCCAGAGAAGAGTTCCCAAAGCCTGACTTGTCACAGGGCTCAAGTTGGTTTCCTTTATGGATGCAACTATTTCAAATATGCTGTTTTGTTGTTTTAATTGCCTGGGCTAGTCTCCCCCGAATATGGTTTCAATTACTTCTCTGGTTGGGACATCACAAGAAGTCAAGTGCTTTGAGGGAGCAGCTTTGGGCAGCTGCCGCTAGATGGCAGCTGCGAATAGATATTGCTGACCCTTGGAAAGGGCTTCCCACGCACTGCATGATGAGCCCTGGGAGTGCTATGGATGGACAGAGGCAGGCTCTCCCCCTGCATGTCAACCATGAAGGGCAACCTTAAGAGTGCATTGCTGCAGAGCCTGCCTGTCCCTGCTGCCCCCCTCCCCCCAGGGTACTCTACCCACCCTGGCCCACATACACCAGCAGTCTGCAGTCATCCCATGTCCCACATTTTTCCTCCAGTCCTCATGTTTATTTGGGACTAACTGTTTAATTCCATTTGTTTCATCCTCGGCAGACCCATTTGGGGTCTTTGCTTCTCGGACATAACTGAGCTTTGTTGAACATCCCCCATGAATTCAAGTCCTCCCTGCAGCTCTGAGCTGCCATTGTGCAAGGAACAAGCGTTGTAGGTACCTCTGAACCAGCTCCCTGCCCTTGACCATGGCTTTCTTCTGGCAGACCCACCCTCTCTTGCCAACGTGGTACCTCCAACAAAATCCCACACAAGAAACCTAAATTCACTTGGCACCTAATGGGCCTGGAGTCCCCCACATTGAGTCTGTAAGAGCTGGCTATGTAGAGGTCAGGCCTTTTACCAACAGCAATGGCAACTCTAGTTTGGACACTTCAATGGGGTCACTGTTTCATGCAAAGCAATTTGGCAATAGAAAAAACTATCTTTAGGAAAATGTTTCTGGAGTTTGGTGCATCTGAAGAGTAGATTTTTTCCCAGCTAACACATCAGACCTCCTTGAGGTTAAAAATAGCAACTTGCAGGCCCTAGTATCCTTGTCTCTCTTCTATGTGGGAACATTTCTAATCCCTAATTGATTATTTGAAATGCAGCTAAAGAAGATGATGCTTCAAAAGCCAAGGTTGTAGTATGTGTGAGCGCTGTGTGTGGGGCTGCACAAGCCCTGTGAATGGGGAGAGGGCAGAACAAAATCCAGGCACCTCCTTCATCTCCTAGAAGGGGAAATGATTATATTAGTCTAATTTGAGGATATAACTCTTCAGGTAAAAAAGTCATAACTATCTTCTGCTTTCTAGTTGGAATTTCCCCTTCTTTGCTTGTTGTTGTGTTTCAGTGCTGTGTTATCTTTCTAAACATGGATATGTTGCATCTGATTCATCTCTCATCCCTGTTTTACACTGGTATAACTCCAATATCTGAGTTATTCTGGATTTATACCAGTAAGAGAAGGATGAAGCTAATAAGATTTAGAAGAGCTGTTCCATGCGTGCCATATGGGCTTTCATTATATCATTAGGCATATGGATTACCGTGCTATTCAGTCATAGCACAGAGATTTGCATAAGGGAAATGAAGGGTTAGTTGCTCTAGATTTTGTTCAGTCAGTAGTGTTCTGCGGTTTTCCTTGAGTATGGGGTGTATTTCAAAACACAAGGTTGTTGATTTGTTAACATATTATGGTCATTTTTCAGGGTTTCTCTAGACACTAGGAGTATTGTGAGTTTCCCCCAGTAATCATGGATGGCCATCCATATCCAGACTACAGGTCAGCTGAAAGATTCTGGCAATACTGTAAACCATCAGAGCTCACAGATTTTGTTTGGTTTATTCAGATATTTATTAAATGATCCCATTGTACAGAATCTGGTGTGTGTACCAACCCATTAAAAACTTCTTGGCAAGTGTCATCCAAGACAAAGAGTGAAACTTCATACATTCCCCACTGTCACAACTGGACTAAACATATGAGTCTTAAATCAAGTCCTAAAGAACTAGTTTGATTTCTGCTGAATCAAAAAGGGAAGTGAATTTTATGCTATCAAAAATCCCCTACTATCAAGTATGAGGGACCAGTAATAGCAGTACATCAGCTAGAGAGAGCACATGTAGAGACATGATTCTGTACCAGACTGGAAATCAGTATCAACATTTTGAGTTGCACCTGGAAGCAACTGAGAAGCCAGGGCAGTCCTCAGGGAATAGCAGTGATGTGCTCCATCTGGCTGGCATGTGCAAAGAAGCAACCAGCTGTATTCTGCATTAACCAAAACTTCTGCATGTGTTGTGAAGGCTTGTCCATGTAGGGTAGACTATGGCAATCGTTTCTGAAAGTCACAGAGGCATGGATTGCCATGGAAATCTTGGTATCAGCGAACTGATAATAATTCCCTGACCAAGCACAAATGATAGAGGAAGCATCTCTGACCACCAGTTCTTCCTAGGAATCCAAAACAAGCTGGGCATCCAGAAGCACATTGAAGCTGTTACTGAAAAGGGTAAATGAACTCCTACAAAAATGGGCAAGGTGGAGAATATTGTTATCATGCCCCTTGCATCCTTTTAAATTGTTTTCTGACCTAAAAACTATACTTCTGACCCATCGTGTTTAGAGAGAGTTTCATCCAGGCTCGTTTTCACATGTTAGCAATCTGAGCCAGACACTGAGAAAGCAACTAATGATAATATAGAGAGAGGCAGAGCTGTCTGTCATTCATATACTGATGTTGCTGCAGCACCAAATACACCATGGCCTATATATTAAAAAGGAGGGATCACAATACTGTATAGGAAAGTGCTTGAGGACAATGAACAATGTATTTATTCATAATGTACTTTTTAGTTATAAAAACAGCATCTGTGGCATAATATCACACCTGAATGGAACAAATAGGGCCAAAGAAATGTCATTGTGTCCATGTCCAGTCAAACACTGGCACACCACCACAGATCTCACAGTCCCTGTTAGCAAAGACTAAGGGTGGATCTGAACATATCATCTTCGCCCATCATTAGGAAGAGATGCTCATCAACTAGCGCGTGTAGTGCCTGTATGCTCTAATCAGGCTAATAGCCAGCTGGAAATGGCACTAGAAGTCAGAGGACTTTAATGCCAGCCTGTTTAGACATCAGTTCCTCACTTGCTTTATCCTCAGAGCTTAGCATGGGGGAGCTAGTCGGCCTATAGGCTTCAGGGACCGGTTTCTTGGGTATTGCCTTGTCAGTATTCTGAATGGAGCACAGGGCTCTCTCTGAAGGAAGATGTTTCTTTTCTGCATTATCAGACTTTGTACAATGCCACTTGAATTCATCAGTCACAGAGGTATCTTCCAGGCTGTGACTGAAATAAATTAGTCAGAGAGACACCAAAGACACTGAATTTCACGATTCACAAATCCAATCACGATTCCCTGCAAAACAGATGGCAGATGTCCCCAAATGAACCACATTCCTCTCTGTTTCTGGGTAAACATGACCTGCTCTCCTGTTTAGGACTTCACAGGTCTCCTAGGAAAAGGAAACTTTCTCAGATGACACCAGAGGACTTCATGTACTCTCTCAGTTACAGCTGACTGAAACGGCAATGGGCTGACTGCCACCAGTACTCTGCCCCTGCACTCTCCCATCCCTGGAAGTCATAGGGAAGTAAACTACGCAGGTGACCTATATTGATGGTGGAGGATAGAAGTTAATCATAGTGCCATACTAGCCCCTTGATAGAGAGTGAGAAATCTATAATCCATCATTTACTGTGAGCAGGCGGGCAGTGGACCAGGTCCTGTATCCTGATCAAAACAAAGTCAAATCTTGATTTCAGGTGAAAGGGATAATGGTCAGACCATGAAAAACGGTGGACGGTATCCCAACCACTTCCAGCCTTGCTTCACAAAAAACAGCTCCTTGATGGAGATGTTGAAATCACCTTGGGCCATCCCATTTTTGTCAGGCCTGTCCTCCTGGTTTTACTTTGCATATTTTAACACTGATTCTTAATAGTGCAAAGTTAAAAAAATGTGCCTGAGTTCTTTCCATTTACACTTTTTCTTCTCCAAATACTTTGAGTTATTGGGGGGAGAGGGTTACAAAAATTCATTTTTAACTTTTTTCCCCAAAACACAATTTTGCATGGTGCTGGATATTTTATATAACCCACCAATTGATAAAAATTGGTGGGTTATATAAAAATGAGTATTTTTTTGGATTATTTTTCCCCCTGTCATTTTGATCAAAAACACTTTTTGATGTAGGAAACATCACCATAACTTTTCAGGGCCCTTGATAAACAGGTTTAAAGAAAATAAATCATGACAACTTTTAAACAATGAAATAGGGATCCGTCTGGAGGCCTTTGAAATGAAAATAACTTTGAAATTTAAAATGTTTTTGTGAAAAACAAGT